AAGTCATCAAGGATTTGATATTTTTATAATAAAAACACATAAAATCAATATTTTGATTATAATCTACACATTCCAAGAGGCCATGCGTGATCACACTGTTTCTACTCAAAATGTGGTCTTTGGACCAGCAGCATCAGTATCACCTGTAGCTTGTTAGAAATACAGACTCAGGCCCCATACTGGACCAACTGAAGAAGAACCTGTACTTTAACAAGATCTCCAGGTGATTTGTATGAATGTTAAGGTTTGAGAACATGAATAACTCTGAACTCTCAACTGTGTTCAGGGAAAGCTTTTAAAAGTCTGTAAAGATGGTATCTTCAGACTTCTTTTGTATATTCTTGAGGCATGATGCAATACTTTGGGTAAATAATAAGAAAAATAACGGATAATGCACTAGTGATGGCTTATTTGTCTATTGTGTTGTCCTTCTAGGCAATTCCATCATTCTTACATTTTCATATTTTTTTAGCGTAGAATGGAATTATAGATGAGTAGTGACAAAGATGAATAAACAGCAAAAATTTTTTAAATAAAAAATAAGGTCACTAAGATCCCATAATGTATCATAGATTTATAAACAGGTACATTGGACTCATATTAATTACAAGATAGAATGATTTGGTTTTACTTTAAAAAATATATAAGCAAGTGGTTGGATGCAGTGGGTCAGACCTCTAATCCCAGCACTTTCAGAGACTGAGGCAAGAGTTTGAGACCAGCCTGGGCAATATAGTGAGAATTCATCTACACACACACACACAAATTTTTTAAAATTAGTTTCAGCCTGTAATCCCAGCACTTTGGGTGGTCGAGGTGAAAGGATTGCCTGAGTCCAGGGGTTTGAGACCAGTCTGAGCAACTTGACGAGACCTCGTCTCTACAATATATTAAAATTAACCAGATGTAGCGTGTGCCTATAGTTCCAGCTATTTGGAAGGCTAGGCGGAAGGATCACTTGAGCCCAGCAGGTCAATGCTGGGGTGGCAGTGAGCATGCCACTGGACTCCAGCCTGAGCAACAGAGTGAGACTCCAATTCAAAAAAAAAAATTGTGTGTGGAGGCTCATGCCTGTAATTCCAGCACTTTGAAAGGCTGAGGTGGGAGGATTGCTTGATCCAAAGAGTTCAAGACCAGTTGAAGACATAATGTGACCTCATTTCTACAAAAAAATTAAAAAATTAGCTGGGCATGGTGACGTACATCTGTAGTCCTAGTTACTCAGGAGACTAAGGTGGGAGGATCACTTGAGCTCAAGAGTTTGAGGCTGTGGTGAGCCATGATCACCATACTTCAGCCTGGGTGGCAGGGTGAAATCCTGACACAAACAAACAAACATTATACTTGTGTATATATAATACAGATTTTTTCTTTGTTCTTTGGAAAAAAGAAATTTCTAGAAAGAAATTTAAAAAATAAAATTGAGTCTAGTTGACCCTGATTGTAAACCGAGAGTTAAGAATTAAGGATCTTTAAAGAATACTTTGGAAACTAAATCCCATATATGAAAATATAACTAGTAATGCAAGTAATAGGAAATGGGTATCAAGTGAGTATTGTGAAGGTTCAGGATAATAAGCATTTGGTCAATTCACTCAATAAATATTAAGTGCCATTGTGTACCTGCGTTGTTTGTGGATTGGGGATAACTGGAGCTTACATTTTAGCGGTAGACGCATACAATAAACAAACTAGCCAATAAAAGTTCAAGTAATGATAAGTGCCGTGAAGAAAACTGGAGCAGGTCAGAGGTGGTGAATTATTCTGCACTCCAGACCAGAAGGCTACAAGCAAATACTTTTCTCTTCCTTGGTACTTGGGCCCCAGAGATGATCAAGGAGACTTGTAAGAAGTTGCCATTTCACCAGGCTCTGGCTGAAATGTGATACAGAACCATGTGGAGGAAGTGGAATATAACAAATGAAACTGCGATAATAGTTCTGTTCTTTAAAAAGTCCTTTTATCCCCTTAATTGAATGGGACTGTCCTACAGCCTCAGGGTCACCAAGGATGCAAATAAAGTCACCTCCTCTTGTCTTGGTCAGGGTAGTATCCTGAGATACCATAGCACAAGAAAGGAGCATGAGCTCTGTAGAGACCTCCCTTCAATCTGGAGGGATAAAAAACATTCATTTATTGTACTTCAGGTCTCACAAAACAGCACCACTTTGAGTCTGCAGTCTCAATTTCCACATCTGAAAATTGGGAAAGATACCCAACTCGCAAGGCTGTCGTGACAAACAGATAGTATATATCAAGTGCCTGGCACATATTAAGTATCAATAAACAGTAGCCAGTATTCCTCAAGGTATTATCATGATGGTATCCCAAAGTATCAATAGACAGTAGCCAGTCTTCCTCATGGCTATTACCATGATGATTACCATTTATGTCTATCCTGAGAAGTTAATTTTAGTCTTATGAAAATTATTCCTAAGATACACAATAAAATTCAACATTCTCATACATGAAGAAAAGTTTACTACCCGTTGGCTACCCTCACCCTAATTTAGTGCATTGCCCCCTCTAGAGAACAGTAGGGGGGAGGTAGGGACATTGAATGGGTAGGCCCCTGAAAAGCAGTTTAGGGCATCAATGTGCATAAATAAACATTGCATGGTGTCAGCTGTGTGACAGCCAAAATATTTTATGCATTTTTAGATATCCACCTTTATCCTCTAAACCTTCTAGTTTCATTCACAAATGTGAATACATTTAGTTTCTTCAAATAAATGAGTGACTGGCTGGAAATAGTTTTCCAGGAGTTGTCAAAAGAGGTTTGGACATTTGACAGCCATCCTGAGCCCTGGGATCAATGTAAAGGATTCCTGTGATGAAACTCCAGTCAGCCTGCCTCACCCCTTGGGGGAGATAACCATCTCAGTTGTCTCTCAGTTCTCTACAACCCTGTCTTGACCCTGAGGTTCCTGAGAAGTTGTCAGAGTTGTGTCAGGTTAGTCTGAAATATTATATAATCCTAAACTGAGCAGATCGCATTTCCTGATGTGCTATTATCGAACACTTCAGATTTAGTTTACTCTGAAATAAAAAAGAGTAAATTAAAAAAGAGAAGAAGTCGGGCTCAGTGGCTCAGCCTGTAATCCCGCGCCTTTGGGAGGCTGAGGTGAGTGGATTGCCTGAGCCCGCGAGTTCAAGACCCACCTAGGCAGCGAGACCTCATCTCTACTATAAATCAAAAAATCAGCTGGGCGTGATAGCGCATGCCTGTAACTCCAGCTATTCGGAAGGCTGAGGCGGAAGGATCACCGGAGCCCAGCAGGTCAAGGCTGCGGTGGCCGGGAGCAGCCACTGCACTCCAGTCTGGGCGACGGAGTGAGACTCCAACTCAAAAAAAAAAAACAAAAAACAGAAGAAAGTAATGATTTGGATGATGCTATATCTCCTTTCAGTCTGTTTTATGATCTTTCTGGCTTTTGCTAATGTTATAAAGCAATGAGTTGGTTTGGGAGGCTGAGGTGAGAGGATTGCCCAAGCCCAGGGGTTTGAGACCAGCCTGGGCAACTTGGTGAGACCTCATCTCTACAATATATCAAAAAATTAGCTGGGCATGGTAGTGCATGCCTGCAGTTCCAACCACTTGGAAGGCTGAGGCAGAAGGATCACCTGAGCCCAGTGGGTCAACACTGGGGTGGCCGTGAGCATGCCACTACCCTCCAGCCTGGGCAATAGAGTGAGACTCTGACTCAAAAAAAAAAAAAAAAAAAGTCCAGTTAAGCTATATCAACAAAATAGGCAAACACCAAGATCTTGAATCACTAAATTTTTATACAACACAATACCCATGGTAGACAAATACTAAAAACTACAAAATGCCTAAAACATAAATAAATAAAGGAAGACGAAGAAGGAATGAGTGAAAGAGGAAGGAAAAAATAGGAAGGAAGGAAGGAGGAAAGGGAAAAAGAAAAATCAACAAAGAACTAACAGAGGGGAAAGAAAGAAAAATAAAATGGAATCTGAAGTCCTCTCCTTCAGAGATCAGGGAAAGCACAGGCAGAGTTTTGTGATGGGGTTCATTTTTGCCTTGTTTCCTGCCTCTGCTTTTGTAGAATGATCTTTAGTCAGGTGGTAGTGATTCCGATTGCCAGGGTACCTTTGGTGAAGAAAATCTGGGCCATCATCATCAAGTGATGATTACAGACAGAAATGCCCTCCCATTTAGGATTCCCTGGTTCATGTTGAACTCCAGCAGATGCAGTTAGGGATGGGTGAGAGTCCCAGACAGCGTCATGGTGACAAAAAAACGAAGTGTGTCCTTCATGGCTCTTCTCTTTCCCAAATACCCACAGAAAATGGTAGCAGAGGCAGGAGTATGTTATGAACCAGTCCACCAGCACTGGGAGTTGCGTATTCCAGGCCAAGATGACTGTCTCAGGTTTCTGTAGGAAGTCAGCCCACACTCTACCTGGAGCTGTTTTACAGACCACCTTGAAAAAAAACCTGTTAAGATAACAATGTTTGACCAATAAATCTTGCTCTGGACAATAACCCCCTGCTGATGCTCTCCCACATGTGCATAAGGACTAGAGAGTGTCCAGTAGTAACCCTTGCTTCATCATAATACGAAAATCTCCACCCCAGGTAAGGCTTAGCCATCATTTTTTGTATGTATGACATATGAAGGAGTATGTGTCTACACTACACTTGCATGGTTAGAGCTCTCCCTAATCTTGCTAACATACCTTTTCTTTGAAGTTACACCCCCTTCTCCTCTAATAAAAGGCTTTGGCAAGCCCCTCCTGGGAGCCTGCTGGAGATCTCTTCTTCCTGAACTGTCTCCCTTGTACAAGTCTCCAGTGAAGCCTTGCCTGGGAAACTGTGGCTTCATGTCAATTCCTATTACATGAGAGCGTAAGAACCCATAATTGGTAACAGATCTACCTCAAATGGGTCACCACTACCTCCTTTTTTACTGGCAGTAGCAGAACTATTTCATGACAACGCTACGTGTCAGGCAACACTGCTTCCTAGTGGTAGGGATGAACATGGTATTAGAGCTGGTGGTGGGTGCTGGCAGTAACAATGATGCGCTGAGGTGGGTGGAGGCTAGTTTGCTCTAGGATGCGCTGAGTTATGACTCTTCGGTTACATAGCTCCATTTCTAGTGCTCTTGACTCTTTTCTGTAAATTCTGTTTTCCATATGGAATCATTTCCCTTTGGCATGAAGAGCATCTTTAGCATACTATATAGTGCAGTTCTGCTGGCTGCAAATTCTCTCACTTATGCATATACGAAATGTCCTTACTTAGCCCTTATTTCTGAAGGATATTCTGGTCTCCTCCCCTGCAGTCCCCAGGCAACCACTGATCTACTTTCTGTCACTATAAGTAAGTTATATTTTCTAGAATTTCATATGAATGGAAACATACAGTATGTGATTTTTTGTGGCTTCTTTCATGCAGCATAATTTTGAGATTCATCAACATTGTGTATACATCAGTAGTTCCTTTATATTGCTGTGTAGTATTTGTTTATTGTACAACTCTACCACAGTTTATCACCTGTTGATGTGTATTTGGGAGTTTCTATTTTTTAATTATTACATATAAAGCACTATAAATATTTGTGTTCAATTATTTGCATGGAAATATGCCTTCTCTTCTTTTGGATAAATATCTAGAAGTGGCATGCTGGATCATATGGCAGGTGTATGTTTATGTTTTCACCAAACCACCAAACTCTTTTTGTCAAGTGGTTGCACCGTTTTACATTCCTACCAAGTATGGTAAGTAATTAGGGGTACACAGTTAAATAAGGCCCTCCTTGCTTCCAGTATTTCTCCTGTTTGCTGTCCACAGCCACACATGGAATTCCAAGTCATGGAACATGAACTTTTTTGTAGGGCAAGGAGTTGTTCTGGAAGTGTGCTCCAGGTTATTTGACAGAGAATTCTGTGACCTGGGAAACCTGCCACATAGTCTGGAGAGAAGTTGTGACCATAGATAGGCATGTTCCCTCAGCTCAAAGGATTTTTTTTTTTCCTTTTTGGAGGGGTGTGGCCAAAGGATGACCCGAAAGGGGAGCCCTCTAAAGTATGGATCCCCAAATAGCATCTCTCTTGTTAGGTCTAAGGGCTATAAGGGTATTGTTTCCCCCTCTTCTCATCTATTCAAATTCTAACAATCCAAAAACCCATCTGAAGTCCTCACTTCTTCTGTCACTGTGACAATTCTGTGTTCTTCCTCCTCTCAGTTTTTTGCTGTTTGCCTTTATATGTCTCACTTTTCCAATTTTTAAAGTAAATTTTTGAATCAACCACTCTTTTTTTCCTTATACGTCCAACAAAATATTATGTACACAAATGCTGTTCAAGTATGTTTGAATGAATGAAGTGCTGCATGGAGTTGCTGGTTTATCTCAGCTCCCAGGTTAGGTGTTAGTCTTGAGACATTGTCCAGCATGAGTTACATTTACACATGGAGAACCCAGTGCACAGCTAGGCCTTCCTGTCCATACTCCACTCTGTCATCTTTGCTAGGCGCTTATCCTCAGTCAATTTATGCTTTGCTAATCCTGTGTGATCTTGATTTGCTCTTCTGCTAATTCATCTCATCGTTGTCTTTAGATTACTTCCTTACGTAACTATATTAACTAACCCAGAAACAAAGAGGTAATTTTGATCAAGTTTCTGATTTCCCCAGCATTTCTGTAGTTCTGTCTGTCTGACAGGTAACTAAAGATCCTAGCCATAAACATTTCCCAAGTGAGTCATGCCTTGATGTATCCCTACATGCTGACCTTTCTTCCCAAAATGCTCTTTCTTTTCTTTCCTATCTAGAAAATATTCTAGAGGCTTTCAGAACTCAGTCACAACAGCATCTCTTCTTGGAAACCTTATCTTTTTAAGATACCTAAAGTGCAGCTGGGCACGGTGGCTCATGCCTGTAATCTCAGCACTTTGGTCAGGAGAGGCGAAAGGGCTGCCAGAGCCCAGGGGTTCGAAACCAGCCTGGGCAACTTGGTAAGATCTCTTTTCTAAAATAAATAAAAAATTTAGCTAGGCAGGATGGCACACACCTGTAGGTCCAGCTTTTTGGAAGGCTGAGGCAGAAAGATCGCCTGAACTCCGCAGGTCAAGGCTGTAGTACCCATGAGCGTGCCACTGCACTCCAGCCTGGGCAACAGAGTGAAACTCTTACTCAAAAAATAATAATAAAATAAGGTGAATTTCTCTGTCTAACAGTACATCTCTGTAAACCTCTCTCATAATATTTAGGACACCGGTACTGTAATTTATGTGTATTACTGTTTCTGGACTGCAAACTTAAGTGAAGATAAGGACCACATCTCCTTTGGCTTTCTGTTTCAACCCCTAACATAGTGCTAGTACATAGTAATTTTCAAATAATTGGCTAATGAATCAATAAATGAATGAATGAAAAACAAAATACCCCTTCTTATTCTTCTCTTTCATTCTCTACTCTTTTTGTCATCCCTTCTTTTATTTATTTTTTGCCTTTGCTCTTCTGTGTCTAAATTTCTGCAATATAGAAATAATAAGAGCTTTGTGACCTTTAACTAGGATTTTTTTAGCTCTACAAATGTTGGAAAATGAATTTTGAGCCTTAGCAAACAAACCGAAAAAGCTTAAACATTTGTTCATGGATTCAGCAATGGAAGAAATATTTCACTGGCATTTGTTATGAGGACGAGTACATTGGTGAGGTTAACATTCTTTGCTCAAAACTGAGAGGGCTCTGGACAGATCTCTATTCTGACAGCAACACAGATCATATTCTGTCACACTGAGATCTCAGGTAACTGACCTTTCTTAAGTCTGGAGGTCACCTGAGGATGCCCTATGTGGAAAATCAAAGATGAAAATATTGTTTAAAATCGTTCAAGCTTGGTTTAACCCAAATGCTTTTTATAGAGATATTATGAAATAATGAAAATAAAGTTCTTTAATACACTGGCCAGCAGTAGTAGGTGCTAGTAAATAATCTCTAATCCCCAGCCTCCTTCCCAAACTTCCTAAATTTCCCAAAGACCAAGTTTCCTCGAAATTTCTTTCAGAGTCAAAGTCACAAATAAGGACTAGGTCTAAGTGATATTTGCCAGTCACTAAACATGAAGGCCTTCTTTTTAGACATCAGTAAATTATCCTCTTTGGAACTTACACTTTCTTTGACAGTGAGATGCTTTTGGTGTAATTGTTGAATCTAAAGCATTCTTCATATAAATTTCCTGAGGCTGCCATGAACAACTCACACATAGTCAGGGGCCCGTACACTGGCCCTAATTCCTCATCAGAGATTCCTTTTCTGAAAGTATTGTTTGTACTCTCTCCTTGCTTCCTGTTGCTTGAGGAGGTGCTCTAAACCTCTGTAGTAAGACTAGAGAACACCTTAATAGGTATTTTGAACAGTGTGACTAAAGACCAGCATGATCAGGAAATAAATCAGCTTGGTGGCAGCCTATTTAATGACCTTGAGATTCTGAAAAGAGATATTTCTGCCCTGACCGAGTTCAGTTAAAGTGAGAATAATTCATCTGGTATACTCAAGTGATGCTGTTTACTGTAATATATAATAGATGTTAATGTATTAAGGAGTTTGAAAACAAACACAAATAAAAGTGATTTTAAAATAGCTGTAGCATTGTTTTCTTGAAAAACAAGTCCTTTTTTTTTAGTTGGGGGTCTCATTCTGTCACCCAGGCTGGAATGTAGTGGCATGATCATGGCTTACCACAGCCTCAGCCTCCTGGATTCAGGCACTCTTTTCACCTCAGTCTCTCAAGTAGCTGGGACTACAGGTGTACACCACCATGGCTGGCTAATTTTATTTTGTTTTATTGAAATTTTAAAAAAATTTTAGATTCAGAGGGTACACATATGTCTCTGCTACATGAACACATTATGCAGTGGTAGAGATTGGGTCTCAGGTGGCCCATTCCTCAGATAGTGAACATTGATATGTATTTTCTGAACCCTAATCTCCCTCCTGTTTCCCCCCTTATTGTTGTCCCCAGTGTCTCACTATGTTGCCTAGGCTGGTCTTGAACTCCTGCGCTCAAGCAGTCCTCTTGCCTCGACCTCCCAAAGTGCTGAGATTACAAGTGTAAGCCACCATGCCCAGCCACAAGTCTTCTGTAAAGCTTTAGATTCCATGTCCTCAAATATACTTCAGCCGAATTTTCACTTAAAACTTACATTTACATTCTGCAGGAATAGACTTTCCCTGTTTCTTTTACACAGCTCCTGCAAATTGCCGCAGTGGAATGGGACAGCTTTACCTATAAGCATTTTAGAGGTAAATGGAATTAAGGTCAATAATCATCAATGTTTAAATGCACCAAACCTGTTTCCCAGGATTTCTAAGGAAACGAAAGAAGAATTGTTCCTTCCAAGTCTTTAGAAACTTGTGAAGGGTGAAGAGGCTGCATTTACTGACCCACTTTTCTTAAGTCTTTGCAGGCAAAAATCTTTGAAAATGGGACCCTTGGAGATTCTGTCAGCTGCTTGTTGTTGGTAGTGGCTTGTTTGTAGAGTTTAAACACACACACACACACACACACACACACACACACACACACACACTCAAATCATTTTTTTCTTTCTCTTTTCAGGAGCATCTAAAGGCCTTTGATGATGAAATCAATGCTTTTTTGGACAATACATTTGGGCCTCGAGGTGAGTAAAGCTACTTGAGAACTTGATGTGGAAGGAAGAATACCATTTGACTATAGAAAAGAATTAATGGTATTTCTGTCAACTTGAAAATAGGACAGTATGTAACATTTAGAAACTTCCTTCAACTTTGTTATGCTTCTCCCAGAATGAAGGCCCCTGTGTCTCCTTCTGCTCAATCTCTCCTGGGTAGATTAAAGAAGTTCTGGGCACAGGAAGCAGGAACAGAAGGAAACGCAATACTTTCCTCCCTTGTCTCTCTGAATACAAAGCCAGGTTGTAGCTTCCCCTCTGAAATATGCTGCTTTCCTGTCCTCTCTCCACTGCCCATTCACCTTACACCTTCCTCCCATGCACATCATATACCTTATTTCTCCCTTACGTGCCTCGGTGCATTCCCTTTGAAGGCATGTGCACTATCTCTGCCCAGGGCCCTTAGGATAAACTCAGAAGTCTTTCTATCATTCCTTTGTCACCTGTTACTTACTCTACTGCAGTGTCTTCCCAGCTGGTCTCTCCTCTCTACTCTTGCCCTCTTCCAATCATTTATTAAGTGTCAGCTGGAATAATATTCTAAAAACCTAAATCATATTGTTTGGTGCTCTCGCTTAAAATCATTAGTCTTCCCACTGACTTTGTTGTCAAAACTTACCTTCTTATCATGGACTGCATGCCTGTGTTATATAGCCTAGCTATCTCTCCAGCTCAGTCATGTCTGTCTTCCTTATTTGCTTTGATTCAGCCACTCAAGAATTCCTCCCTACTCTCTCCTACCCTCCCCACAATTTTGTCAGCTCCTCATACCTCAAGGATCAGTTTAAATTAAATGTTACCTTTTTCAGAAAGGCTTTCTCCCTTGAAAGTACAGTAGTCCCCCTTATCCACATTTTCACTTGCATAGTTTCAGTTACCCATGGTCAACCATGATTTGAAAATAGTACAAGATACTTTGAGAGAAAGAGAGACCACATTCACATAACTTTTATTATAGTATATTGTTATATCTTATTGTTAGTTTTTGTGGTCACTATCTTACTAGGCCTAAAGATAGTCTTGGAACATATCCCATCCAGATAAGAAGGTTTTTCATTATTTTCTACTTCAACCCTTGTTTATTTCCTTCATGTACTATATTGTTATTAATAGCTATTTCTCCCATGAGGACAGGAACCATGACTGTGTTACTCACCATTTATGTCCAGAACATGTTACAGTTGTGGGAAAATATTAGGTACTATATATTTTGCAAATAAAAGAATGAATTCTAGACAAACTGTTGTTCTCTTGAACTTTACTGGTTCACAAAACTGTGGAAAGTCCTTAGTCTCTATAAGGCATTTTCTCAGCAGTAGGCGGAAATGAGGGAGGGAAATGAAGAGGTTTCTCAAAATCTTTAAACAATCACTTAGAAAGTATTTAGACCATTCTCCAATTTCTGTATATGCTCCATAAACTCTTCTAAGTAGAATGGCTGTTTATATAATTTTATTAGAATGATACTCTGCATATAGCCTTAAAACATACTTTCACATAGTTTTTTGTTTTTTCCATTTTATTCTCCTGATGATCCTATGGGGTAGGCAGGACAGAATGTTTTTATCTTCTAACCCTCTCTTTAGTATGTTCTCTTCCTTCCAGTTCTAGTGAGTGGGAAGGAGAGCAGCTCGGTGCAGAGGGTATGGCCTTCTCACGTAGGTGTGCAGGGAATGGGAGGAACTATGATTTCTTGGTGACTGTGGCTTTCTTTTTGACACTTCCGTTAGAGAGTTAAACAGCAGTTTGTCTGAGCCAAGTTCACACTGAACTTTGCCATCAGTAAGATCAGCATGATCTGGAATTATGCAAGTATGGGATCAATTGAGGATAGGATTGCAGTTTTTTACTCAGTGTTGGTTATTTTTATGGAAGTTTCTTTGTAGCAAGGGGACTGTAAAATTGACAGTTGACTGCTGAATCAGATGATCTCCACAGTGACAGGGTGTCTAACATTTAAGCTATCAATAATTATTTTCCTTTCCTAAGAGTGATGCACGTTTAAGTTGACTGGCACATCCTAGTAATTTTAGGCATCCCTCAGTCTTTTCTGATTTTGCCAATACCATATTAGTACCATCAAGGAATATTGTCCTGGCATATTGTTCTGACACAGATGCAGAGCTAACACTTCTCAAGTCCCAAAGATAAGAAATGTTATCACAAGTATTCATTCTCATATTTTGATTGGAACAATTATGATTGTCCTTAACTGTAGCAAACATTTCTAGAATCATGACAAAAGGAAACAAAAAACTTCAGGAGCTGTATTAGTTTTGCAGTATGTTCTTGATTCAGTGTGCCAATTGACACAGATTTCATGAATGTTTTCTCTTAACTCAGCACTAAGTGGGTATGAGTGAGACAGAGTAGAGATACAAGACCTAGTGACTGTCTTCTTCCTGGAGCATATACTGTAACTGGGGAGGTAAAATTAGTACATCTGAAACTACTGGAAAGCAATTAAGTACTAAACCATGTGTGTTTGTTTCCTAGGGCTGCCATAACAAAGTACCACAAGTCAGGAGGCTTAAAACAACAAATTTATTCCCTCCAAGTTCTGGAGGCTAGCAGTCTGAAATCAGTGTGTCAGAAGAACCTCATGCCCTCTGAGGTTCTAGGGCAGAATCTCTTTCACAACTCCTAGTTTCTGGTGGTTGCTGGCAACCCTTGCTGTTCCTTAGCTTGTAGATGTATTGCTCCAACATCTATCATCATACAGCATTCTCCTCTTTGTGTCTTTGTATCCAAATCTCTCCTTATAAGGACACCAGGCAGTGGGTTAGGGCCCACCCTAATCCAACACGTCTTCATCTTAGCTAGAATATACCTGCAAAGACCCTCTTTCCAAATAATATCACATTCACAGATACCAGGAGTTAGGACTTAAACATATTTTTCTGGGGGACACAGTTAACCAACCCACACCACCATGGCAAGAGGTAGGGGAGCAGTTTAGAGCAAATAATTTAACTGTTTTTAGCCCTTTGTGGCTCAATTTTTCTTAAATGTAAACTGGGGGTATCACCTATATAATAAGATTGCTTTGAGAACAAAATAATGCCTGTAAAAGGCTTTAGAACAGTGGCTGGAACAGAAGAAGTGCCCAGCTTTTAGTTATGATAACAGTATTGTAGCCATAATAACATGTAAGTTATAAATTGACGATAATTATCTTGCTACTCTAACAAGGATAGTGGGAAATGTCTTCTTTCAGAAGGCAGAACCTTTATCTGGGCATTAAAGATGAGTAGGACTAAGATTGGAGACTAACACTGGGAAGTGGTACCCAGCCCAGATGTGTATGACAGGGGAGTGCGAGTCAGTTGTCTGAAAGGTAGTGTCTGTTAATCACCGGAATGCTAAGAAAAGTTTGCTTACCTTCCTCCTCTGTCACCAATGGGAGATGTTTACAGAATAAGTGAGGGAACAGTAGGAACTCAAGAAGGCCTTGTCCCTGTAGAAGTGGCAACTGTCTGTAGGGTAGGTTTTAAACAAGAGACTGGGTGTAGGCAGGGTTGGGTATGCCAGGAAGAGAGACTGAGACTGGGAAAGCCAAATTATCAAGAAAAAGACATTGCCTATTGGTGAGGCCAGCTCTTTACAACTATATTTGTAGAGATCAAAAACAGCATGCAATTTTTATAATTCTGGACCAAATTATTTTCTTTATTTAAACAAACAAGCAGAACAGAATAGAGAACAAAACTCACTTTGTGGCTGCAATTATTTTCAGGTGTTACTAATAATAGTCTAAATCTATTATGTAAATTTTAATTAGGCGCTTTTATGTCTTCATTTTCTAATGTGAGGGGCCCTTGGTGTATTCAGGTTCTTGCCTCCCTGCTGTTTATAATTCTAGTCTCATGGCTAGAACAAGACCTTTGGTTTTATTTTCTGCTCTCAATTCTGAATCTTCAGCTCCAAGGCTTTACCTTTGCGCTCTTCAGCTTCCCATGCTTGCAATCCTATTGCTTTCATTGAGTCCTTTGAATGCTAAACCCATTCCTGGTTTATTGCACAGTGATTCTAGGTAAATTCTGGGCAGTAGGTTTAAGGAGTTAGGATGCAATATCAATATGCCTTCTTTCCTCTGACTGTACAGATCTTCTCCACAGGAGGACAGCAGCAAGGCATAATGGGCTAGGAGCAGATGTGACCAATCCAAATCCTGACTCTGTTGCTGACTTTTGTATGGCCCTTTGCAAGTTACTAAAGCTTACTGAGCTGTTTATTTCCATCCATAAAATGGCATAATAGTACTTCATATCAACTGAGTTAGAGTAAATAAACACAGTAACTGTTCCTAAGTTGGCATTCAAGAGTGGTTACTTCCCACCTTTATTTCTTTTTCCTGCCATTCAGTGTTCAGCATAAGGCCTGTTGGCTCCATGAAACCGTCCTTAATTATTCAGCCCCACTGTCTGCTTCTTCTCCTGAATGCTAACCCAAAGCCAGCTTCCTTAATGCTGTATCATATTATTCCCTGTTGCATGTGGTATGTACAAATACAGTGTATGTAACAATATTGACAACGGAACAGATGCATCATTCTTCAGGATTCTCACTGTATGTGTTTCTTTTCAGATTCTCGAGTCAGAGGGTGGTTCATGTTGGACTCTTACCTTCCTACCTTTTTTCTTACTGTCATATATCTGCTTTCAATTTGGCTGGGTAACAAATATATGAAGAACAGACCTGCTCTTTCTCTCAGGGGTGTCCTCACCTTGTATAACCTTGGAATCACACTTCTCTCGACATATATGCTGGCAGAGGTAAGTGTTTATGTGGCTAAGGGGGAAGTTCAGTCACTGAGCAATGTGTAGGAGCAATCACATTTACCCTACCAGAACTATCCAAGATTGCTGTCAGTACTGTTGTTTAAGACCTTATGAACTTGCTCCAGCATTTGATATTATTCTTCTGGAAGTCCTTGTTTTTAACTTGAATTTTTCTTATCCCAATTTAGGGCTGTTTCTTTAGTCTTTAGTGTAATTGTAATTTAGAATCACAGTTTAGCTCAGAATGGGCCTTTAAATATCATGTTATCTCATTTTATAGATTATGAGATTTTATAGATTATGATGCTTAGAAAAGATACAAAATTTGTCTAAGAATAGACAGTGATTGAGAAACTATATTTTTAAAAACTAACTTAAACAGCAAATGTAGTTATTTTGACTGACATGCCAATATATCTATTCTCTTAATACTCCCCACATCTTGGGAACATTCTGACAGAGGTGTGGCTATTTCTCAGGACTGATGTTCTAGCTCAGCTGTAGTGTTCCTTGTCACATCCCTTGCTCCCATTTCTTACACCCAAGTGATTTTACAAGAGAAAGGAACAAGTGATGATTGTCCAGCCTACACAACCAAAAGTTATTTTACTGTAATACAAGGGGAAATCTAAAAGTGTTGAATAAACATGTTCTAGCAACAAAAGAGAGGGGTGGGGGAAAGAGAAGGGAAACAAAAACTTAAAATCTTTTTTGGGAAAAAGTTAGGATATTATCATTCATACAACTTATAAATGGCTGATAATGACACAAATATAGTTGCCTTCCTGGTGAACTTGAATTCAAGAAAATATATCCTTGTCTTGAAATACAGGTTCTTTCATACAGAGTTTATGCCCTGTGTTATTCTAGTATGCACCATTCTAATAATGGTTAATAACCATTGCCTTAAGTGACTGAAATGAAGCTCTAATAATGGAACTTTAGGCATCATAGTACAGGAGATGGAATTTGGGGTCAGGAACGCCATGCTGACAACTCTAAAATTATACCACATTTACTTGACTCTGAAAGGACCATCTTTATTTTAGGTTTATTACTGTGTGAATTTTAGCTCACTGAATGAGCTTGCAAGATAGCAGTTTATGGGGTTAGTTTCTCTATATAGCAAAGGGAAAAGTATTCTTCCTTGTATTGTTTACAGAAGTACCAGCCGTATCAGAAGGGCCAGCCTGCATGTCTAACTACATCAGCAACTGTAACACCTGTTTGGATGGAACTTGGTTTAGTAGAGTCAAAACACACAAGTTTGGGGTTCTGTCACTTTCCGTGTAATTTTAGAAGAGTTACTTAGGTTTTCTGAACCTTAGGCATAACTTACCTGTAAAGTGGGGATACAATATTTATCCTATATAACTCTTGAGTGAGTTGTAAGAATTAATGGGCTCTGTTCAGCCAGAATTTTTTAAATTCATTTTAAAGATGTGGAGTACAATTCAGACGTGGTACACAAATGTTCATTATGCAGATACCCTTGCAGCCAGAATTTAGTGAGCTTCTACTGGGGTGCCGTGAATATGAAACCCTGAAGGTACAAGATGAATAAGACATGGCTTCTGCACTTGGAGAGCTCACAGATTAGTACACAGAAGGAGTCTGTAAATGTGAAAATGCTTTGTAAATTGTAAAGTGCTAGCTGAATTTTAGTCACTATCAACAGGAGCCAGAACAACAGTTTAGTATTTGAACAACCAGGTAAATTGTCTCTTTTTTTTTTTCATAATCAATATTTTTTATTATGGTTTTGTGGGGTACAGTTAAGGGTTAGGTGTACAATTACATTTTATTCAGGCACCCTGTTGATAAGAGGTGCTTCCCCATCCCCAGACAGATATTTGCTACTGTTAATCCCATCTCCCTACCCCCCCATAGTTTCCCAGTACCGTCAGTCGTTTTTCTTATAGTATTACATTGGATGTTCAAGGTCCATTATATGAGTGAGACCATGTGGTAATCGGATCTTTGTTTCTGTGAGAGGTCACTCAGTATTATAGACTCTAGTTCCATCCAG